TGTTGTTGTTGTTGTTGTTGTTGTTGTTGTTGTTGTTGTTGTTGTTGTGTTTGTTGTTGTTGTTGTTGTTGTTTGTTGTTTGTTGTTTGTTGTTTGTTGTTGTTTGTTGTTGTTTGTTGTTGTTTGTTGTTGTTTGTTGTTGCTTGTTGTTGTTTGTTGTTGTTTGTTGTTTGTTGTTTGTTGTTGTTGTTGTTGTTTTTGGTGGTGTTGTTGCTGTTGTTGTTGTTGCTGTTGTTGTTGTTGTTGCTGTTGTTGTTGTTGGCGGCCCATCTTGGGCCCATGTTGGCCCATCTTGGCCCTATGTTGTGCCCTCTGGGGCCTATGTTGGGCCCCTCTTGGGCCATGTTGGGCCTATGTTGGCCCATCTTGGGGCTATGTTAACCCATCTTGGACCTATCTCGGGGGCCTCTGTTGGGTCATCTTGGGGCACATTTTGCTCCATTTGTGCTGACGCGGGCCCATCACCAAAAAAATCCGATTATGCAGGTCCGCGCGGCGCGCATTACCGACACCGCCCTTGTAAAACCCATAGTTTTTGCATTTTGCCACTGTCCAAATTGGAATCTTCCACGCCCACAAAACCCTATAACACACTGTTTTTGAACACCACGCACGCAAATCACAGCGGCACAGCGGCGGAGACCCACCAGCCCACAATTGGCAAGCAAATCACTTGTTGATGACAATTGGTTGTTGACAATTGGTTGGTGACAATTTGTTGGTGAGAAGATGTGAGAAGTAGTTGGTGGCAATTGGTGGGTAGCAATTGGTTGGTGAAAATTGTTGGTTGATGACAATCGGTTGATGACAAGTGGTTGGTGACAAGCAGGAGGCGGGAGGAGGAGGAGATAGGAGGAGGCAGGAGGGGATACCACACTAAAAACAAAAACCTCACACGTCAATGTGGGCAAACAAAAGAAACTTGAACAAAAGCTTATCTTTACATGAGCTGAATGCATTTGAGCCAAAAAATAGAATGAGCAAGCGAATCTCTGACACTGTTATACAGTTCTGAATGTCTCTTCCCTCGCCTCCCTTCTGGCTGATGGAGGTGCAGAGTCATCCAAACCTGAAGAGGCTGTGCTCCATAGATCAAGTGCCACGCTACTAGGGACAAGTGCTTCGCTACTAGTAGCAGGCGCCTTACTAGTAGTAACAAGAAGCTAGTAGGAACAAGCGCCTTACTAGTAGTAACAGGTGCCTTACTAGTAGTAACAAGAAGCTA